CGACGAATTATAACAACAATAATAATAGTCCGGCGGCGGCGGAGGATACTGTGGAGGAAGAGGTAGCTCGAGTGGTGGAACAAGCGAAGGAGTTGCAAGAAACCGCAGCTTCTTTAATTGCCAAATCTTCACATGATGAACAATCTCTTCGACAGAAAGCTCTCTCTCTCGAATCCTCTGTTCGCCGTTGCCGTTCTCTCCTTAACCGCAACAATCGCCTCGCTCCTAAATTAGTTACCAAGGCAATTAATTAGATTGAATATTTGCTCTGCTTTCGAGTGTAAATTGGATCTCTCTTGCTTTCCTGGTTGATTGATTGATTGATTGGTTTTATGTTGTTTTCTTTTTAGCTTGAAGAAGATTTACAGAAAGCAAGATGTATTATGACTGATGGAGATGCTTCCGCTTTTCTTCCTTCAAAGCCTCAAGGTCTCTTCTTATTTTGATTTCATTTTTATGGATTTAAAATTTGATTAATGGTTAATGAATAAATAATGCACTAGATCGTATCAGAACTCTGCTCAGGCGAGCGTAATCCATGGAAATGTTAATGAGATATGTTTTTGATGCATGCATGCATGCATGCAGGGCGTTTTCTAAAAATGTTTTTGGGACCGATTAATGTGCGGGCCTCTCGCAAAGATGTGCGGTTGAAGGTTAAAGAGGAGTATAACAGCTACAGGGTACGCTTTATTTTTTCTTAAATTTCCGTTATTTTTTTCTGGAAAGGTTGATATTGAAAGTGATTGTGAAAGCTATGTATAATTTACAGTGCTGTTTTTCTTTGGGAGCAGGATAGGACTGCGCTTTTGTTTCTTCTTTTCCCATCGGTTTTACTGTGTTTAAGATCTTGGGTTTGGAATGGGTGCTTGCCCACATTTCCGGTTCAATTGTATCAGGTAATTGCTGGTTATTTCAGGAATCGAGGGATTTTGATGTTTTTGGCTCATTTCTTCGTTCAAGATCAAGTTTTTACATTTTTGGGCTGTGCTTTGGTAGGCCTGGCTGTTGTTTCTCTACACTGGATTGGCTTTGAGAGAAAACATATTGAGAGCCAATGGAAGTGATATTCGTCCATGGTATTTGCAATCCTGGCTTTTCTGGTTTTTAACATGTTGCCTGAGCTCTGGCCTTTATAGCGTTTTGGATGCAAAACGATAATGATTTGGAATAAATTTGGATGAGATGCATTGAAATCAAGAGATTATTCAGATAATTAGCGCCATGACTATGTTAACTGAACTCATTTCTTTTGATTTGAGACATAAATAAAGGGGTGTGAAATTTTCAAAGATGTCCGTGGCTGTAATTTATCTTGGGTAGGTTTGGATATCCAGTATGATGGGGAATCATGAAATTGCTGTCTGAAGTGATTAGAATTTAGTGGAAGAATTTTTTTTTGAGCATTCTGGCTTGGTTCAAAATATTGTAGCTGCAGGTTCATTGCATTGTGCCTTGTGAAGGAGTTGTTTCCTTAAAATTGTAGTTGGACCGATTAGGAGGATTTCCAAGTTTACTGCGCTGGAGTCAATAAAGGAAATAACAAAGAAATTAACTTCCTTTCTTTGACTTGAAGACATACAAATTGATCAAACATGTGGACTTTTTGTTTGCAACCAGGAAGCCCGCTGATGAATTTACCTTGACCTGGCTAATGAAGAGTATTTATTTTCATTATCTTCCTGCTTTTTTATTTATGGTCCTGTGGTGTCATTAAATCTGCAATCTTAACTTCTGATAATTGTTTGGCTCGCCATTGGTCATTATCAATCATCTGATCATGCTTTCCACATTTTTGAGTTACACAAATGCCATGATTTTAAAAGAATCTGCTATTCTCATTTGATGCAGCTAATAAGTCTACCTATTTTCTTGCAACTTCAATCCTAAGCAAGCTTTTTTGTCAATGTACCACATTCTTCCAGCCATGGAATTATCATACCTTTTTCTTCCTGGATCACAGCAATAATTCAGTGGATAGAATCATTTGGTGCACTCAGCACTATTACGGTGGAAATGATGTTTTAGCTATAAACTATACTGATTTTTGCTTGGGGATTTGAGTACCAAAGCATAATGGTTGATGGCACGTAGTGCTTGATCCTGGTTGCTGGGCACTCTGCATACAGATGATAGTTTTAGATGTCTGTAGCAGTCCCAGGAACTAATATTTTCTGTTGTTTTTGAAACAACTTGCCACACTTCTGTCATTTTGTGAAGTAGCTTTTGAGCATTAGAAACAAAAAATCTGAAACATAAAGCTCGTGAAGAAGGCGTTTCATGGTGGCTCCATGTCTTCGAATGTTAGATTGGTAGTGTATGATGACCGATGCATAAAATAACCACTCTTCCTAGTAGAAAGACTATTGACATATGAGGCTGTTCCTCTGGGCCGATTGTTGGCCTATAAACTAGCTTTTATCTAGTTTCATGTCGTCTGGAAGAAGCATAATCTTTGGGTATTTACCTAATTTTTCTAGTTTCCACTGCATGTTTTGAGGTCATGAAATTTAAGTTGCTGACATTTTCAAACAATGGATCAAGAGAAGAAACCTAAAAAGGGTTGAAAGGGCCTTTCACCTCAAGAAATAGGTGAAATCTTAAATTTGCATTCATCTGCTAAAAACTGAATATAATATTTTAGGAGCAGTAGCTCAGTTGTGTTCGGTTATAGAAACTAATCATTTACAGACTTTCTGTCCTGTTAATGCAAAACCTGTTTCTTCTTTTGACACCATCTCTCTTATATGTGGTTGAAAAACTTGATTTTGAGTTTCCATGTCTCCTTTCATCACTGACTAATATATAATGAGGAAATGAATGTTGGAAACCTTATAATATTCTAGTTCATTGGGTTTCTAAACCATATAATAGTAGGCAAGAGAATCTCAAGTGGGTTACAACTTAAAGAGTTATAAGCTCTTCATATTTTCAGCTTTGTGATCTATATAGCTTCAGTTTTCCATTCCTTTGAGCTATTTCTACTTAATTGTTTTGCTCTCACATTAGGTGATGCATTGTATAGCATGAATAAAAGCTAGTGTTCTCAAGCCCTAAGGTTATATACCTAAACTGTATCTCTAGAATTTTATTAAAAGTTTGAATAGTTTGAGTCTTTCTGAAAATAAACTATGTATCTCTATTTATACTAGTCCTAGACCTAGAATTCTTTATAGGAAAGGATTCCTAATTAAAACTTACCTAACTAATATAATCTATCTAACATTAGGATTATTAAATTGAAAATCTTAATCTAAATGGGAAAAAGAATCCAAATACAACAAGGTAAATAAAAACAATCTTACACATGAAATTTTAATAAATAGGAAATAGGACCTTCAAAATCTTCTGTTAAAATTTTAGCATGATCCAATAGTTGGATTAAAAATTATATGTTTTTTTTATCAATTGCATCCTAAACTCTTCTTAAACTCCTTGAAACACAAAAACTTAACCATCAATGAAATAATGTGATAAACATTGTTATGCCAAGAATATTGAAGAAATTTCCTCTACGTCAGTCCTCTCTACTTCTGAAAAACTCATCCTCGAGTTATCTGTCAAGAATTGAACTCTTCCACTCCAAGGGAGCAAATACTTTGAATATAACATTGTAGTCAACATTTTCATGAAATAACATGTCTTTGATCTATGAACTTCAAATTTTAATTTATGATGTGCATGCCAAAGAAAAATCCATATTTAATGTTTATACTTTTCATTCCTATGAAGTCCACTTGTAGTTTCTTGTCACATTCTTTTACTTTAAAATTAACCTCCTCATCATCATCAATGACTTCCAATACTTCAACCTTAGCATATAAAGAAACTTCAATATAACCTTTCATGATATCTTTAGAAGAATTTTCAGAAATTACCATGCACACCATGTCCTTGTTTGCAAGATTTTTAGAATCACTATAAGATACTAATTTAAGAGCTTTCTTGTTTTCTTTCTCACCATTAGTAGATGAAACATCTATAAGTAGAGTAGTATTTGCAGCGGTGGTGTTATTACTGTTGTAATGTTGAAATTGTCTACTTTGAAGAGATGACACCTCCTCTGCAATTTTCTTGCTTGCTATTTTAGAAGGTTGAACAAAAGGCATCACAGAAAGGAATCCCATCAAATTCATGAATAGGTATGGGATTTGGCCTACCTTGAAGTAAGTCTCTAGGCAAATTCCTGTCGTCAAGAGCCCTGTTTGTGTCTCCCATTAGCCAAACTAAATTTGCTGTGGTTTGCTCTAAATGATGAAACCTTCGTCCCTAACATTCTAGTTTATGTTCCTGAGCCTGTATCAAGTCCTGGAGGGCCACCACCCCTGCATCGCGGGGTGGGTTGCTACTGTCTCTATCTATTGGCCGAGCGTATAACATAGATATTATTTAGGGTTCTCAAGTCCTAAGGTTACATACCTAAGCTATACAGAAATTTAGAGAAAACTCTAGTATTAGAAGTCTGTAAGTCTGAATCCTCTTTAAAAATAAACTAGACACCCCTAGTTATACTAATCTTAGACCTAAAATCCTTTATAGTTAAGGTTTTCTAATTAAAACTCGACCTAACTAGCAGAATCCATCTAGCTTTATGATTTCTAAATAGTAAAATACTGATTAAATTGAAAGTCTTAATCTAATTAAGGAAAAAGAATCCAAATACAACAAGGTAAATAAAAACAATTTTGCATAGTAACTTCTGAGCCTTGTCATCCCAATCTTCGATCATCATGAAATTTTAACCTAATGGAAAACATAACCTTCAAAATTTTTTGCCTCAAAATCCCATGTCAAATTTTAGCTTGATCCAGCAGTTAGATTAAAATTCATGCTTGTTTTACAAAACTGCATTTTGGACTCATTTAAACTCCTTAAAACATCAAAAATCTTAATCATTAATGAAACAATTCAATAAACATTATTATGCCAAGAGTATCGAGTCAAGAATTTTGAAGAAGTTTCCCCACGTCATTAGGCTTGTTCTTCTCTTATAGCATTCACATAAATATGATGTTCATCAATATGCATGGAAATGCCAGTTTCATTAGATAGTATTGTCCCCTGAACTGGCTCAAGAATATCTCAATGAAGTAGATAATATGCCTTTGTAGGTGGATATACCATCACTATTGTGCGATGATTATGGCCCTTGTTAGTCTCACTTGGGATATCAAAGGACAACCAAATTGTGCTCAGAAGCAGGTTGCTTTTTTTTTCTTTTCCCAATAGATTCTAAATGCATTTTCTATTTTTATTTGTTAACCATTCCTTAAATCCTGTGCAGAGAGGGGTTCAACTGTTCTTGCAATGGGCTATGATGCAAGGAGTAGCAATGCTTTTGCAAAATAGATATCAACGCCAGAGACTTTATACTCGTATTGCATTGGGAAAGGTATCCTTCTAAAATCACTTTTATGCCCTGCAAAGAATCGCTGGGTGCTTTACTTTTGGCGCAGTCTGTTTTTGTCTTTATTCTTGTGAATTGTGTGGTATAGTGAATCTTGTTTATTACAGGTCTAATGCACAGGATAGGAATTGTCTCTACTTCAGATGCATTTTAATTAGTGCATTATAGTTCCAATCGTTTTGTTAATTTTTATTTTAGGCTAAGCGAATGGATGTTGTCTGGGGAGAAACAGCTGGGGTGGATGGGCAATTGTGGCTGTTGTATCCTATTCTCTTCATTCTGCAGGTATTTGTGCGACTTCTCACCTGTTTTTCTAGTATACAGATGGGGCCTGCTCTTTGCATCTATCCACTAATCATAAGCGTTACTCATCAAGAATTTTTTGCCTCAACTAATTTTGCATACACTTTGTATAGTAAATGAAGCAATGTATTAATCTGATAGCAATTTTATATCATATCACTAGCCATGAATGTGTTCAGCAGTCTGGTTGACCAAGGCCATTGTTTTCACTAAATTACGTTGGTGGGTTAATAAACTCTTGTTCTTTTGTTGTGAAACTAAATTTGATGTGAAGACATGCTACTCCAATGAAGTAGGCTAAGGAATATAATGAACAGCTTGTTTGGAACCAATACTAGACTAGAATTGATTTTAATGCTTGAAGTAGATTGAATTGAATTGATTCTCTAGTTGAATTTTTAGTTTGGAATATGTTTCAAAATCTGGTATTCATTTGAATTGAGTTACTCCAACTACATCATTCACCCAACTCTCCCTCTTCCTCAAACATCTTCTTCCGACTTAACTGATCCCTTTTATTTATTGATGTGAGTAAAGAGAGTGAAAGAGATCAAAAACAACCAAGGCTATGGCTGGTCCTATGTGGTATATGGCCAGGAAAAAGAAAGAACTCTTTCTTATACAGTCTCAATAATGACTAATAATAATTCCTTACATCATAGCATCCCTTAAATGGTTAAGCAAACCCTTGTAACAAAAAAATCCTAGCCTTCATGAACCTTCCAAAAATATCAAGAGGAAATAATGCATAACTGCCCTAAAAAAAGGGTGTTTTGGGGATAAAATTCTAAACGGTCAACTCTGAAGCAAATTGCACCCCATTGGATATGCAAAAGGGTGCGATTGTTTGCAATTGTACAGAAATTACTGGTTTTAACAAATAGAATTCATTTCAGTTGTTTAGGGCTTTCTGAACGCTATAATTGGGTAAATGGTGTTGAGTTGATTTCATTTATTTCAAATTCTGAGGATTCAAAACAGGCTGGAAATTCTAGTTTAGTCATGGGTGGCTCATTTGGGTTGGCAGGATTTGTGCCCGTTTAACAAAGCATCAACAGGCATCCTCTCCTGTTTCATGTGTTTGAAAGAAATTGACGAAGCATTAGGTTTCATCAAATGATTGTGCAATTAGTGTGTTCTACTACAAGTAATTTTCACATTTGAATTGTTGAAATAAGCATGATGTCCGGAGTTCAACGATTATATTGTATGTGCATCTGGAATTGAGATTTGACCTGATTAGCCGTGTGTGCTTCTGGACTTGTTTCAGGGTTTTGAGGCATATGTTGGACTACAGCTGCTGAGGACTGCATTCAAAGGGGTCGCCTCTGAATGGCAGGTAAGCTTTCATAACTTTCTTTGCCCCATTTTAAGATAGACTTTTGCTATCTATCAATTTGCAACTGTACCCGGTACAAATTTGCAGAATGCAATCTAGTGACATAATATTGTTCTGGCAGGTTATTTTCTGTGGTATCCTTCTGGTCTTCATGGCGGTTGGGAACTTCTTAAACACAGTACAGACACTAATGGCAAAGTCAAGGTTTAAGGCTAAAATGAAAAGTAAGAGCAAGCAGGAATTGGATTGAGGCACTTGTAACTGTTAGGATCGCTCCTTCCATTCTCTACAGAATCTCAATTTTGGAACGTTCTTTCATTGGTGTTGAAGCTGAGGCAATGGAAATTTATTCTTAAGGTTTT